CGTTCCTTTTCCCTGTCCTGATCTTGCGGTTGAGCCGATCGCCTCCCTGCTACCTGACCCGCTGGCAGCTTGGAGGAAGCTTCTCCACTCTTCTCCCCAACACCGAAACCCAGAACACAGCACACTGCCTATCCTTAGAGGTTCACGGGGGGCTGCTCTTGTCTGGGCAGCAGGGCTCTGGACTCACACTGATTTCCCTTGTCTAAGAATTCCATCTCTCACTGCTGTAAGAGGATGCGACCAGAGAAAACCCCAAAGTGACACGGATGCCAAGGGTCAGAAGCTGGTGTGCCCTGAAGTGGCAATGACCAGAGGGTGACAGCAGGCTCACCACCACCTCAGATACACGGTATCCTCAAAGCCGAGTCATGTGGGCGCTCCTGGAGCTATCGTCACGAAGACTTGATCGAAATCCTAGTTTCCTTCTAATCTTGTAAAATACTTCAGAGGAATTTCAAAAGGCTTCTTTAAAAAAAAACTGCACATGCATTTTATGATCCTAATGGTTATTGCTATGGTTGTCATTATTGTTTTGCTTAGGCTGGTTAGGGCTGGTTTTAGTTGTGGTTAACTAAAAACCCTCTCTTGGTATAGCCAGTTGCCTAACAAACAGGCAGGGCATGATTAGCTCCACCTGGAGAGGGTTCAGGTAGAGTTATCATGTGGTACGTCCGCTAAGTGACTGAGCATTTCCCACCTGCCAGGATTTTCCAACTACACCCCACCCGGCGGACTCGTTCCCAACTCTGCCTTCACCACAAGCTACAAGTGAAGAAACACAAAACTAAACTAAACATAGGTATGAACGTGATCAAACTTAAAAGGTAAACAGTAAAGTGACAACAGATCTGATATTCAAAGGCATCTCTGACCTGTAAAAACAAGCAAAGAATGAAAATCCCCAAAGGAAAATGACATACAAATAGATAATATGTGAAAAAAGAACTGTTAATAAAGAAAAGAAAATCAAAATGGCAGAAACGGGGTGTTTGGGTGGCTCAGGCGATTAAGTGTCTGTCTCTTGATTTTGGCTCAGGTTGTGATCTCGGGATTGTGCGATCGAGCCTTATGTCAGGCTTTGCATTCAGCACTGAGTCTGCTTGAGATTCTTTATCCCTCTCCCCACCCCCCTATTTGCTCTCTCTCTCTCTCTAAAATAAATGAATCTTTAAAAAATAAAAAAAATAAAATGGTGGAAACACCCCTCTCCCATTATCACTTGGGAAAAATTTACCAAAATCATCAAGCCAGTTGTTGGTGCAAAGGTTGAAGATGGTTTCTCCCGCCTGCTGCTGGTGGGCGTGCAAAGCGGCGCAGGCTGCCCATTCGGGAGTTGTTTTCAAAGTAGTGATCAAAAGCCTTCAAAATGTTCATGCCTTTTCATGTAGCGATCCCAATTCTACAGCTTTAATCAGGGAAACGGAGTTGTGCAGAAAGAGAAACCTGTACTTCATTGCATTGCTTATATAATGAAAAGACTTTTTTTTAACTGGCTTTCTTTTCGGAATGAAGGGCCAAGAGACACAAACGAACATTTACTGAGTACTTCCCATAGGCCAGGCGCTGGGCCCAGTGCAACAGCTACATGGCACAGCAGGAGGACAGAGTTGACTGGTCTGGACTCAGGGTGGCAGGTAACACAAAACCACTTAAGTAGCATTCGTTTCTTAAAAAATGATTTTTGGTGTTTTTTTTGGCTCAGAAATCAGTGATGTCTCAGCAATGGATTAATAACGGTGGGTAAAACTTACTGAGAACTTACTCTGGGTCAGACGCTGTTCTAAACACTTTGCATGTATTAATACTTTTGATCTCTACCCAATCTTGTGAGGTAGATGCTATTCTTAACCCATTTTGCAAGTGAGGAAACTAAGGCAGAAGAGCGGATACGTGGCCTGCCCAACATTGAAAGAGCCAGTCATGGCAGAATCAGTAACGCCAGTCAGCCAGGCAGCTGGCTCCAGAGCTCGTGTTCTTAACTAGGTTAACCAGGGCTTGGCTGGAGTCAGGAATTGAAACGATGCTACCAACAATGCTTGGCTTGCATCTCAGAGCTTCCTTCCTCGGTAGGCTTCCTCCATGGGTCTCCATGGTGGCAGCCCCAAGACCACATTGACTTCACAGCTTATACCAACAAAGGAGGTCTTCCCAACAGCCCCAGCCCAAGTCCCAGGGACTGTCAGGTCTGGTTTGGGTCCGGGGTCCTCCCCTAGGACAGGCTCAGTCTCATGAGAACTCTGCAGGACTACCTCAGAGAGGAGGAAAAGTAGCTTCTAGAGGAAGGGATGTGTGTCCACAGTGAACCAGTCAACTGTGACCAAGGGTCAAGGTGAAAACCGGCTAATGAAATTCCTGCTATGTGCCAGGTGTTTGCAAGGCAATGGGCATCTCTGACCCATAAAAACAAGCAAAGAATGAGAATCCCCACAGGAAAATGACGTACAGATAGACAATATGTGAAAAAAAAGAACTGTTAATAAAGAAAAGAAAATTAAAATGGCAGAAACGGGGTGTTTGGGTGGCTCAGCCGATTAAGCATCCGAACTCTTGATTTCAGCTCAGGTCATGATCTCAGGGTGGTGAGATCTTGAACCCGACTGAGACCTGATTGTGGGTGATATGGTTGTCGCCCACAATCAGGTGGGAGAGCACAGGCGGAAGTTAAAATCACAAGAATCCTTTCTGGAGCCCAGGGAGAAGAGAATAACTGATCAGGAGGTGAGCAGGATCTGGAAGGCCAAGCAAGTAGTAGTGAATAGTAACTACCTGCTTGAACGCATACCACATGCCAGAGACTAGGGTAAGTGATCAGTACACATTTATCATCACTCTACTACCTATTGTGTCACAGATAAGAACACTGATACTTAGAACAATGAAATACCTTGCCCAAGGACCCATCATGATGGAGCCAGGATTCAAAAGTCTATAAATACATTGGACATAACCAAGTTGCTAAGGAGAGCCAGCAAAGGTCATAGTCAATTTCATTTTTCCCCATAAGTAACTGACATTGAAAATGAAATCCCTTGGTTGGTAGCAATCTGATATCGGGTATCTATTAAGGTACACAGAACACACAGTTAAGAACTTATTTAATTGGCCCCAGCAATGAAGATGCAGTCATTAAATACTGGACTTTTTCCAACCTGCTTTTAAGTATCATCAATATGGTGTACGAGTAGTGCCATTAAAAATATCAGGGGAAAAAGGCTAAAAGGACTTCAGATCCAAATACAAAGACCCTGAAACCATCAAAGGGGAAACCGGATCTGACCTGAACATACTACATATGGAAGCCCTGGAATCACTGTGATGCTCTGGGGAATATTCAGTTACAAGGGAGACCCAGCACTGACCTTTTTGCAAGGAGACAATCAACAGAAGACTGTATTTGATAGGAGGAATTCACTTCCTGTTGACAAGGCTTCTAACCCCGTACAAGAGAGAGAAGAGGGGAGGGCAAAGACCTCAGTGGGCTTTGAATTGATGAACCCTGGTTCTCGAGGAGTCTGAAAAGAAAAAGAAAAAACAAAACGAAAGAAAAAAGGAGGTATTGTGTAGAAAGGCCATATGATCTGCCCAGCTGTTACATCCTTTGCTCCTTCGCTAGAAAAGCTGAAGGAATGACGGAAGCCGACCAGCAGAAACTTGACGTTCTTCTCTTGAATATTTATTACATCTCTTCTGCAAATACGACACATAGAAGATACCGGAGTGCTTATTAATTCAAATTTTACTTCCTGGCTTGCTTTCTGGGCTATCCATCCCTGTACTCAATCCACCTGAAGCCACTGTCCCTGCTGCCCACACGCCCAGCAGAGCACACCGCCCTTTATTCGGTGCCTCCATAACCCCACATACAGTATTTCTATTATGGCCTTGTATCGAAATCAACTCGTCCACTAGATTCTAACTCACCTCTGTGGCCAGCACTTTAGCGCATACAGCTGCTCAGAAAATGCTGACTGAATTAATAAAACAAAACTGCTTCTGTACATTTATAAACACTGCACTACACTGTAGTAGTTCTCTGCAGTCATCTTTGGTCCAGGAGCTGCGCAAGGGCAACGTCATGTCTCACTCATCTTTATCTCCATTGCCGAGCGTGGTGTCTTAACAGTTCCCAGCAAAGAGCAGGTGCTCGGTAATCATGTTTCAGTGGTTAGGCACAAAATTTCTCAACACGTGATGCATAGGGCGGGGTAGGAGAGTAATTAACCGGACTACTGCTAGAGAAAAGCTTGGGAATTCGTGACACAGGCTTTTTTGGTTGATGAGCATGATGGGAAGCGGCAGTTCTCTGGGCAAGTACAAATTTGGCTCCCATGTTCTTGGCAGGAGCAATTTCTCACGAGTCAGAAGGAGGGGGCTAACATGAACCACACAGGGGTGCTCCCCACTTAAACCCCACAACAGATCCAAGGTATAGGCAGGTATGACCCCCCATGGTGCCGAAGAGGATACAGGCCCAGAGAGGTTTATCTCTTGCCCAAGCCCACCCAAGCGGAAGGGGCCAGGCCCGAGGCTCGGCAGCAGGCACCTGGGACAGGCCGGCTGGCCTTTCGTCCTCCCGGGGCTGCCTTTGGCCCTTTCAAGTCTAGCTGGGCGACTCCTAAAGAGGAGGAGCAGAAAAGAAGCCGGGGTGCTAAGACGCTTTGGGCGCAGGCGAGTCAGAGGAGGATCGGGCCGCAAAGAGCCGAGGGAAAGGGGCGGCGCCGCTTAGCCGCGCCCCCTCGCCTGGCACGCGTTCGGCGGCGTTCATAAGCTTGGTCCTTCTGGGCCTCCGGAGGCCGGAATCCACTTGGGAGAGCTTCGGCGGCGGCAAGATCGGTATTTTAAATTCAAATCATGTTTGCGTACTCGAACTTGGAGGTTACGAAGCCATCCCCACCCAAGATTCTCACCAACTAAAACCGCGAAGACTACAGAATCCCCACCCTTCACAGTAGAAGGCCCCTCCGTCGGGTATCCGACCGCGGAAGTTCCTCCTGCAGAGATCCGATTGCGTCACTTCCGTCGCGCTTCTGGGAGGTGCCAAGATGGACGCTCCGCGGGCCCGGGAGCAGCTCCGGCGGCGATACCTTTTCCCGCCGGACACCGAGGCCCCGCTGGACAGCGAGGGCTACGCCGGGCCGGGTGAGGCGTTCCCCCGGGCGCGCCCCGAGCCGCGCCGAGCTGGCCGGAGTCGAGGCGCCCGGAAACGGCCGGCCCCGCGGGCCTCCCGCAGCCCTGCCCTGGCAGGAGGGACCGGGTTTTGTTTTTCAGGGCTTGCCGAGTAGTTTTGCAAGTCGTGTACTTAGCTTAATAAGAGATTCCTAGTGATCGCGTAGCCCCGCGCATCTTCATCCCAGCTGCGCTTCAGGATTCTCAGGAGAGCTGGTTTAACACCTGTTTCGTAATATCCATTAAAATAAAAAAAATGCCGTCCGGTTGTATTTCTAAGAATCAACCGAAGAATTATACTCTTCCCAAAACCCGACGACGTATGTGCAACTTGTTTAACCTCAGCTTTGCTTGTAATAGCGAACGGCTGAAAATATCTAATTGCCCATAAACAGAGAGCTGGTTAAATACATTTAGATGTATTCATACATGACACAGCGGGCAGACTTTTTTCTTTTTTACCAGGGTGGATGATTTTTAAAGGGAAGCGCAGAACAAAGTATGGTATGCCACCGTTTGGGTACGAACCTGTTAACGTGTGATGTGTGTTCTCCTGTAAAGACATAGAATATGGAAGAATTCATAGAAGTTATATTGGTAATTGCTTTGGGGTTGAAAAACTAGGGTTAAGGATAGGAGATTTCATTGTAGATCTTGTCCTGTATGTTGTAAAGCATGTGCATTTATTACCCTTTTCAAAATAAGCAGAAATCATGCCCAGGCATGCTTATTTATAAATTTTGAGCCTATCTCCCAGAATTTATATTATGAACATGCCTTTTGGGGATTCTGATAGCTTGCTAAAGGTTGGGGACCTCAGTTGTATTCCAGTGGTTCTCACAAGAACAGAGAGAAAGGGCATGTCACTCATCTGGTGAACTTGTAGGAAATAACTCATCAGACCCAACCCGAGCCACCTTTTCTTTCAGATTGGGTCTCAAATGGAAGAAATTTGATTTGTCCATCACCTGTCTAGACAGTACTGTGCCAAGACTAGACCTCCAGTGTGCCCTTGCCACTTTTGAGCTGCCTCAAAAGGTTGTGTTTGTTTGCAATAATTAAAATATGTAGTTAAAAGTAGTATTTTGGGGGAAATTACAAGTCCATTTTGTGCTGTAATGTCTGATGTCTGCATTTTTCTTAATTAACAAGGCTAACTGCTTTCTTAGGCAATATTTGAAACATAATACTAAAATTCTACACTACCCGGTGGTGTCATTTTTTTCTAAAAGACGATAATAATTGTAAATTTGATTTTAAAATTCATTTAGAGGGAAAAAGTTTCCTATATTGAACATGTTTTATGGCAGGTTCCTATTAATTACTTCTGTATATATAAACCTATTTGGGTGGTTGTTCAGAAGAAATTGGTACTCTAATTGGAGAGAATCTGGGTTTTGGAAAGGTCCAGGAAATTATTTTATCCAGCTTAAAATAGCTATTTTTTTCCTTATAAATTTATGGTAACTTGATAAGTTAAAATCTTCCTTATTTGCAGAAGCCTCTACAGCTGTTGAAAAAAAGGAGAAACCTCTTCCAAGACTTAATATCCATTCTGGATTCTGGATTTTGGCATCCATTGTTGTGACCTACTACGTTGATTTCTTTAAAACCATTAAAGAAAACTTTCACACTAGTAGGTGAGAAAACTTTATTGCTTCATAAGTTAAGCACCATCATCTTATTTTTCATGTTCTGTTTTGTCAGTTGAATTTTGCAAATGTTTAGAAAGCTCTTACTTCCTGCCAGGTACCGTGTTAGAGGTACTAGTGATACAAAGGTGAATAAGAGTGTGTGCTTTGGACATGTACAGCAGAACGTATGAGCCTGGAAAGTATTTCAGTATGCCTTTCAGCACAAGTGTGTTGTGGGATGGCAAAGGTAGTGAATTTAAGAACCTAATCCGTTTGTAAAAGAGGGAAGAAGAAAGATTCTGCCTGATGGTCTCTCTGCAGATAAAGTATAGGAACACTGGGAGGAGGGGGTGAGGACTGTGGTGGGTAAGAACTGGGTCTCAGAGCTTGTTTTCAGAGAGTAGTTACAGCTAATAAGGTAACTACAGGGAGTGATTGAATTAGAGTTGATGTCACTCAGGGAGGAGTTGGGAGCTGATGTCAAATCATCATTCATTGAGGAGGATTGGGATCTCTTTGGTATAATCTCAGGATCTGACGTGGGGGACAAGGTTGTGAATTAGACCTGAGTCCTCACTGAACATTGGACAGTGTTCTGGAGGCCCCCCATAGCAGAACAAAGAGGGGGAGATGTTGATGACCATTGGAACTGGCATTGGGGGGTGATTTGCATAGGATGAGAGCACAGTTGTTCACAAGGAGCAGCAGGACTAGAAAGGTGTGGCTAGGACTGTTTGATCCCACGTTACCTTTTCTTCAGAGTCCTTCAGGAAGATCGGTGACCATTGGAGGGAGAGCCAGGAGATGCATGCAGTCAGGAGAAAGGCATATGGGACTTTAAACTGTTGGAGGGAGAGAGCTTGTTCTCTCTTTCCTGATTCCTGTGAGCTGGAGCTTTCCTTAAACACTCCCATCTTTCTGCGCTTTGCCCTCCTTGTTCCTTCCCTGACTGATTTGGGATGAAGAACCAGACATGTCGCTTAGCACCTTCTTTCTCTTGGGATCCAGCTGCCCATTGGAAGCACAGATTCCAGTCTGCTTTTCTCTGCCATCATTTCTGGGGGTAGCCCCGATATGTGAGGGTCTCTAGGTTTTCACATCAACTTGGAACCTGGTGGGTATGTCTGGTCACCAAAGCCATCTTCCCGTAGCTCCATCAGTAAAAAAAAAAAAAAAAAGCTGACAGTTGACCTCATCAGCCTAACTCCTTCGTGTCTCTCAGTTGGTTTAGAACCTGGGCTGGGAAAAGAGAGAATGGTTACTTTGCACACCAGCAGTGGCAGCTGTCTCTTTGTTATTCACATATGTCATGAGAGCCTGAAATGTGATGGCGATGATTAAGGCACATGTCTAGCCCCTCACCAGTCCCTTATGGTCCAGGATGGATAAATTGGTCATGTGGTGGATGCTGTGTAAGTGTATGCACAGGATTTACCTCTGTCGCCTTATATTAAGTATTCTCACTAGTTTAAGGAATTGGTGAGGTAAGGGATAATTAGTTACACATAAAAGGTGCTGGAGGCACATATGGTCATGTGGCAGAGCCAGGACTCGGAATCTGAAGCCAGGCCTTGGAGCAGGAGAAGGAAGTAGAAGTCACAGGCCTGGCCCCCAAAAAGCGTCCCCTTAGATAAAAAAGACATGAACGGATATTCACAGGCTGAGGATTTTGAGTAGCCCTGGATTCTTGCTGAGGGCCTCAGTAAGCAGTGGGGAGTTGGAGCCGTGGGATGAGAGCAATACCTGAAAGGGAGTGTGGGCCGTGATCTGCTCTCTTGCATCTGGTTCATTCTTCTGATGCCTGAGGTCATTGCTTATTTCTTGCTCCACCATTAGCCCAAGTTCAGAAGCTCAAAGCATTAGGGTTCTTTAAATCTGTGCAAGGTTAGGGGTGCCTGGATGGCTCAGTCGGTTGAGGGTCCGACTGTTTCAGCTCAGGTTATGGTCTCAGGGTTGTTAAGATTGAGTCCTGCATTGGGCTGTGTGCTGAGCATGGAACCTGCTTAAGATTCTCTCTTCTCCCCCCTCTCCACACACCACTGCCCCAGCTTGCATATGCTCTCTCTCTCTTAAAAAAAAAAAAATTTTTTTTTAAATCTATGCAAGGTTGTAAGATTGTATGTTCAAAGACAGGAGAGACAGATTGACATTAAAGTGAAACATCATGATGCTTTGAAAATGTCAATTTTTAGGAACCTGCTGTGTGTGTGTGTGTGTGTGTGTACGTGTGTGTACACACACCGAGGAGCTGATTAAAACTACAATGCAAATTACCATCCCAGATGCCCAGGCTTCATACCCACCAAGCCAGAATTTGGGAGACTGGGGCAAGTTAGCTTCCTTTTGGAATGTTGTAGTGACTCTGATACACACCCAGGGTTGAGGGCCACTGACTTGCACTATCGTTTTGATTCAGGCATGTTCTTCATCTGTTTCTATCCTCTACCATATCGGGACTCCATGGCCGTGCTAGGATTCTATATGAAGTTAAAAACAGATGAACAGAAGGATCCTGACCAAGCAAGGAGGTCACTAATAGTGTTCCTCAGCCTTTGTTAGCACCTCCGAAGGAGCCTTTGCAAGACATGTTATTCCTTATTGCCCCCTTACGTACTGTATGAGTATCTGTGCTTTGTACATGCAGAAAGAGTAAGATTATTTCCTCACTTTCGGGGCAACATCGCCCCTGTTGAGAATGCACACTCTAGCAGAAGAGAGGTCTTTGAAGAGGAATATGGAGATTTTTTTTTTCATGGATCACCTCTGGAATAATGATGATTACCACTGGGCATTAACTGTGTGGGAAGCACTTTTCTGAGCAGCTGTGTGATTCTCACAGCTATTCTCTAAGTCCTGGTAACGTTTCCAAAGCCCCATGAGGTTAAGTAATTTGCCCAGAGCCACAAAGCTAGTCCTGCTGGATCCAAACCCAGACCAGCAGATGTGAAAGGCTGCGCCCTCCTGCCTCTCATTATTAATCCTAGAACCCAGCATCATAAAATGCTTTAAAGGAATCTGGAACCTTGGCACGGTTGGACCGTGCGCTCACTCACTGCCAGTGTCACTTGACTGTTCCAGCCCCCCTGTGACTCCTCTCTCATCTACGCAGAACACCGGTCTTCTCCCCTCGGAGAAGCGAAAGATAATGGGGACATCAGGAAACAGGAAAAGGGCTTCGTTCCCCAAATCTGGCCTCCTCCCCTGATCCACAGGGGCGAGGAGGCTGCCTTCACATGCAGAGTCGGCTCTTGGGTAGAATGAGAAGTGAGAAAAAGCCACTGCTCCTCGGAGGGTTGGAGCTCTTCTCAAAATGGGTGTGTTTCCCTAAGAAACCTGTTGTGAGAGGCAGTTTGAAGAAACCGTCTTCCAAATTGATTGTCCATGTTCCTCAAAACCATCCTTGATTTGGAGGAGTTCATGGTCCCTGTTTCTTACTGTCACACTCAAATCTTCAGAAAGAGACAGAAAGCTGCTGTCTCTCCTGGATCGTGAAAGCAGACGCGTGGCCGTGAGCTTGCTCATGCTTTGGGTCGTGGTTTTGGAGTGTGTGCAGCACACGAGTGTTTAAAAGCCTCACTTTCTTCCTGCGGCACGTGCTGGCCTCCTGTCTCACCCCATCTCTTGGTAGATAGAGGCCTTCTGAAAGCTGGGACTGAGGAGCTGTGGGTCCCTCAGGGCCCCTTACCCAGCCAGTACTCTCCGTGAAAATCGATTGTTAGGCTGTCCGTGAGAACGTTTAAGACATGTGCTGACTCGCTAAGTGCTGTCAGCCCTCCTGTCGCTTTTGTCTTTGGCAGTTGGTTTGTCGTGGGTGGTGCCCTGCTGCTCCTCAGCCTGTCGATTGCATGTTACTGCATCCTCTACCTGGAGTGGTGTCGTGGAATTGAAGATTATGACGTCAAGTACCCCACCTTGATACCCATTACAACCGCTACTTTTATTGCAGCCGGGATTTGGTAAGTTAACTTTGAAATGACTCACAGGAATAAAACGGTTTTTGATTGGTGCTGATGTACATGGTACAAAACTTAAAGGAAAGGAGTAACGGGAAAATGGCCTCCTGTCATTGCTGGTCTTGGAGTCCCTTTCCAATAGGATCTTTCTTTATGTATTTAGCTACTTAATATGCAAATGGTGACATGCTGTATATATTCTGCCTTTTGCTTTTTCAGTCATTTTCATTGTGAAATATAATACATATAGAAAGTGGAAAAAACTAAACTGTACAGCTGAACGAGTTCAGAGATGCATTGATGAAAGCCCACCCAGGTCAAGAAGGAGAACCCTTCCAGCCCCAGAATCCCACCCCCACCCCCAGGCGCCATCCTTCCTGCCCAGGGACAGACACTGCCCCGGCCTGTGTGGGACTTGCTTTCTTTTGCCTCTCTTAAATACTCTCTTTTTGTTTTGTCTGTTTTTGAACTTGATAGAAATGGAGTCATATATTGTGTGTTCTTTTACATTTGGTGGTTTACACGTAATATTACGTATGCTCTTTATTATTCTCATGCTCAAAACTTCAGAGACAGAGGGAAAGCTGCTGTCTTTCCTGTATCATGAAAGAAAACACATCGCCATGAGTGGAGCTGTGGTTTGGACGGCGCTTTGTGGGCGTGTGCAAAGCCTCACTTTCGTTCCTGCCTCGTGTCTCAGTCTCATCCTGTCTCACCCCCTCTCCCGTTAGATCTGCCTTGTGTATCGCAGCTGCTCACTGCTGGGTAGCATTCCGGCCTGTCGCTGAATCCCAGCCTAGCGGCTCTACTGTCCATAGCGTTTGAATTGTTTCCAGCTTGGCGATGTTCCTAAGGATGCTGTTAACATTATGGAAGAGGACTCTCGTGCACACGTGCACACATGTCCGGATGTATGTAGGCTCACACGTGTATGTACCTATCTCTAGAAGTAAAATTGCTGGCTTAGAGGTTGTACATATCCAGTTTCAGTAAATAGCGCCACCTCTTTTCCAAAGTGACTGTTCGTTTTTTTTTTAATGGAGCCATGTAGTTGATAATTCTTCCATATTGGTACATATAGATGTGCCGTATTGTTTTGAATTGTTACATAGTTATTACAGAGACATAACCAGGATTTACTTAACCCGCTCTCTTGTTAGATTTAGAGTTGTTCTTACTGTTCTGCTGCTATAAAAACACCACAGTGTCCTTCTTCTTAATAGTTATTCAGTGGGGGCGCCTGGGTGGCTCAGATGGTTGAGCGGCTGCCTTCGGCTCAGGTCATGATCCCAGGGTCCCGGGATCGAGTCCCGCGTCGGGCTCCCTGCTCAGCGGGGAGCCTGCTTCTCCCTCTGCTTCTCTCTCTCTCTCTGTCTCTCATGAATAAATAAATAAAATCTTTAAAAAAAAAAAGTTATTCAGTGAAAAACATTGATTTTTTTAAATGTGTAGAAAAGTATACTTGCTCACTGAAGAAAAATCTATTACAGCGAAACACGAAGGCAGCAAATCACCATGACCCCGCTAGGCCGAGAGAAAAACTACTCTTATTGTTGTGCGTATTCCTGTAGCTTTTTTCCTTTTTCTGTAATAACTGAATTTTGATTTTGGAAAAACCATATACTTCTGTACATGTTCAGTTTAAATGCATGTTTTTTATGATGAATTTTCTGTATTTGAAGTTTAAGGGTATTGACACCTATTAACCTTGTAATGTGGACGTTACTAACCCTTCAGTGATGTGGGTGGACAGGTGTGCTCTTTTATATTATATAAGTAAGATCGCCCCAGAAGTGTTAGTTTTTAGAACAGTGGGATTGTAGCTGTTTAAAGTTCTCTTTATCAAAGTGTTACACATTAAAATCTTAACTGACTACAGCTTTCGCTAAGTAACTTCTGCTTCTACAAATTCAGACCATAAAAATCACTTGCACTTAGAAGCTGTCTTATTCTTACCTTGGTGACCGGAATAGTGTTTTTCTCAATAGGAAATTTTTTTTACTGTTTTCTTTTTTTTTTTAAAGGTTTTATTTATTTATTTGACAGAGGGAGACACAGCGAGAGAGGGAACACAAGCAGGGGGCGTGGGAGAGGGAGAAGCAGGCCTCCCTCAGAGCAGGGAGCCCGACGTGGGGCTCGATCCCAGGACCCTGGGATCATGACCTGAGCCGAAGGCAGACGCTTAATGACTGAGCCACCCAGGCGCTCTTCTTTTCTCCAAAGATTTTATTCATTTATTTGAGAGAAAGAGATAGCAAGAGAGAGCACAAGCTGGGGAGGGGGGCGGGAAGAGGGAGAAGCGGGCTCCCCACTAAGCAGGGAGCCTGATACGGGGCTTGATCCCAGGACCCTTGGAATCATGACCTGAGCCGAAGGCAGATGCTTCACTGACTGAGCCACCCAGGCGCCCCTCAATAGGAAATTTAATAGCAACTTTTAAGTGATTATTTTTTCTTTCTGTTTCTAAGAAAAAAATATTTGAAACTGTTTTGACCGTGATCATTTGATGGCATGTGGATCATAAAAGGCAGTAGCCATTGTCATTCCTATTCCATCACAGACACTGACTTTTCAACCCTCAGGTTCCTCTTGGGCAGCTCTCAGGGGAGGACCTTTAGCGGTTCCAGTTCCAAATGCTTTTGGAAGAGTTTGTGATATTTCCACTATGGGCTAAATCACATGGTGGAGAAACATGACATGCATATAAAGTTGCTGGCTAGGTAAACTTTCCCAGACTGAGGAACAGTGGGTTCTCTAAATCTAGACTCCACCGTGGGCTGTGTGTGTAGACTGCAGCCGGAGTTGCTAACTGTGTGCGCTTTGTCCTTTTCAGCTTCAACGTTGCTCTGTGGCACGTGTGGTCTTTCCTCACCCCGCTGGTATTGTTTACTCAGTTCATGGGGGTTGTGATGCTCATCTCACTCCTTGGATGATTTCTAAAGGTAGGAGTTCTGGAATGGTGGTTCTTACATTGAATTCATTGGAACAGTGTCTTCCTCTACGACAGTTTTCAGGTGGCGGCCCAGCAGTAGCAGACTGCTTAGCACCTGTTCAGCCGTTCAACTTAGCAACTGTCCTCTGGTATGGAAAAGTTCACGCTGTAGATTATTTTCTCCTGAAGTCAGCTTCCGTCACCTGATACACACGTGACGACTGGCCAGGTTGCTCTGATGGATTGGCAGCGTAGGAAGAATGGGCACTCTGACCCACTCTGACAGTTCTGGCTGCTTCCTAACAGACAACGCGTCGACCTTTTCCTTCCATGTTCCTTAGAGGATTTCTTCCTCTCCGCCGACAACTGCCCCCCCGGGCCCGCTGCCTTGCACAGTGGGGTCTGTTTGTCGAGTATCAGATGACTCATTTATCACACAAGTATGTAGTGAGGGCACTCCCTCTACGTGCTGAGGGGCATGGGGAGAAGACCGAGGCAGCGCCTCCCTTCCCGTCACTTACTTCAGAGCTTGGAGGAGATCTGCTTGGTGCATCAGTTTACAACAGGCATGAAAACGGGCCCGGAGAAGCATAGGTTAATATATACTAAGTAAATGATTGGGTGCTAAAGAAAACTGGCTTCAGCTAACAGCATCTGCTCCCTTTGGAGTTTTATTTTTTCTTTTTAAAGATTTGATTTATTTGAGAGAGAGAGAGAGAGAAGGAGGGAGCACACTAATTGGGGGGAGCTGCAGAGGGAGACGGAGAAGCAGGCTCCCTGCTGAGCGTGGAGCCTGACGTGGGGCGCAGTCCCAGGACCTCACGATCATGACCTGAGCCGAAGGCAGGTGCTTGACCAGCTGAGCCACCCAGCCGCCCCCCCCCCACTTTGGCATTTTAAAGGAGAGTCACTGTACCCGCATAAAGGAGAAACGGACATAATGTCATTGCTGCCAGGCTGCCAGTCGCTGTCATGGCCCTGACGGCGCTGGGGTGGACAGTCCCCTCCACACGCTGTGCTGTCTCAGTAGCCCTTTCTCCTGGTTCGGGTGTGCCGCCGCAAGACGTCGCCTCACCTGACCATGTGTCCTGCTGCCCCCCTTCTCCCAGGTGTCGTTAACATTTTTGGCTGTTCAGTTTTGACTTTTTACACACGTTCAGGAGCTTTTGACTCCCTGCTGATGTGAATTTATATTTGGTAACGGAGAGCCAGAGATGTTACATGTGGACTAAGCTTTGCTTCTAACAACAGATCCAGAAGCTGAAGATAGAATGTCTCGCATCGGATATCAATGCTCGTTTCCTTTCAGGTTTTAGAGCGCGTCAGTGTGAACGCTTCAACCTCCAGCCGGCTGAAAGCATCGCAGGCGTAATGGAAATGCTACAGTGCGTTTTTGCATCTAGGAAGTGAGTGGTTTCCTGGGAAAAATTGTAACTTTGCAGTCTGGTTGAAATCAGAATAAATTCGAGCTCATTTGCCTGTTCTTAAACTCAAAAATTATTGAATTTTTTTCAAATTCAAAATAGAAGTAATTGGTTTGCAGTGTTAATCTGTTTGAATCATTGGCGAAAGTATTGGTGTAAACATTTAAGCAGCGTTTCATTACAGGTACATGATGTCCTCCCCGAATTCAGATAAGTTGTTCCTTCTTGGGTTGTATACGGTCAAAGTGTATGGAAGGGAATGATCGTGTCCTGTGCCTTTACCCCAGCGTCAGCAATTCCTGTACTTCTCATTTTTATAATAGTCTTGTTAGGTGAGAGGGCCAATTGGAAGCATTTTGTGTGTTCCTATCACTTTAGATTTCATCAGGTGTAAATTCCTGGGTTTCTAGCATTTGTTTAATGTAGGCACTTTTAATCATTTTTAAGTATGTATAATTTTTTCCTTAATGTTTAAATAAAATATTTTTATAACTTTCTTGTGGGTTTTCTTGCTACAGGTTTTGGAAAGTTTGTTTTCAGCTATTAGAGTTAACTAAGGGAATAGGGCTTCTTCTTAGAGATGTCTGCTCTGCTCTTCAGAGATCTCAGGAAGACACTGTTCACCCTTTCAAATGCAGATATGTTCATGTTAAACCCAAACATCATACGCCTTGTGGTGTTGATCCTCACCCCCCCTCAAAAGGGACTTCTGCTGATGGTGGGGTTCAGTCACCGCTTGTGTCTGGCCTGGATCCACCCTGCACCTACCATGACTAGACCTTGAGTAGTAATCTTTCTCCAGCTGTGAAGTGGGAACAATATCTGTTTTGTAGGGTTGTGGATAGTAGGAATAATGTTTACAAAACACCCATTATAGTGCCTGGTACACAGTAGGTTTCTGGTACACAGTAGGCGCTCACTCCATTAATGATAATAGAGAACGAAAGACCAAGTAGATCCAGAGTCAGGAGTGGGAAAAGGGCAGGAAAGTGGGAAAAGGTGAGCAGAATCGGGCCCAGTCTGGGTACACACACGTGAGAGTTTCATTACAAGGTGAGGAGCAAGGTCAGACAGAGGTCAGAGTCAGCCACGTCAGTCAGTGATGGGGGGAGTCCGGTGCAGGGTTGCGGTTGCAAACCCCGCAAGTTAGGATGAGAGTAAGAGGCGGGACTAGGAAGGGAGAGACAGGTAGGGGGCTACCTGATCGGGCTCACCAAAAATCCCCAAAATGCTGAGGCGTAAGGAAACCAGAGATGAGGGAACATAACCAGAGCACCTCGTCTGTCTGAAACCTCAGAGGTGAGCTATCCAGAGGAGAAGTAATCATGGTGCTCTCAGTGGTGACGCCAAGAAGATTGAAGTTCCCTGATCAATTTTCTATAAAAGCCCGACCATAAGAGCCCTCAGTGGCAACCCATTTGGGACCTCTCACTTGAGAGAGCTTTTCCTTTCCTTTGTTTCCACCTTCACTGAATAAACTTCTGCTTCACCCTTTTGCGTCCGTGAGATTCATTCTTCGACCCCGCGAGACAAGAACCCTGTAACGAGCATTGGTTCTGACCCTCCGGGGGGGCCTGGGGCAGGGGACAAAAGACAGCACCCTAGTGACAGCACCCACAAGTTCTCTGGGAGAGAGTCTGCAAGAAAACACCTATCCTCCCTCGCTCTCCCGTCCCCATCCCTTACTGCGGAGTGTAGTTCTACTTGGATAGACATCTAAGGCTGGGGTTCTCTGTAGGCAGTTCGTTGAAACCCAGTTAGAATGCTGATGTGGCCAACAAAGAGGCTAAGATGACCCTGTTAGTTGCAAAGAGACATTTTAATATATTTTTTTTAAAACTGGATCATGCCTGGTCTCTGTTTCTGTTACATAACTGCCATGTATGTTATTTATGGGTCTTTCCCTGTTACTATAACTACTAAATAAGTAAAAATGGTATCAGGCCATCCTGTCAGTGCTTCTGCACAAGCCTGTGGGAGGAGCGCCGCTCTTCAGAGTCAAGAGTAAATGAACACTTGCCAGTCTCTCCCGTGAAGGCCAGGGATATGGCGGAAGCACGTGTGTGCTCTTGAAAGTGTCCCTGACTCTTTGGGGTGCCTGGGTGGCTCAGTCCGTTGAGCTTCTGACTCTTGGTTGCGTGGGACTCTTGGTTTGGGCTCAGGTCGTGATCTCAGGGTCGTGAGATGGAGCCCCACATCCGGCTGTGTGCTCTGCGTGGAGTCCACCTGTCCCTCTCCCTCCCCTTGTGCCTCCCCCAATAAATAAATAAGGTCTTTTTAAAAATTAAAAAAAAATGTCCCTGACTCTGAGCATCCCAAGTGTCAAGTCCCAAGTTTTCTACCCAGCTTGCACACTTGTGCCCAGGCCTGCAGCTCAGAGGTTGTGGTTTGGTTGGTGAGCAGGGCTGTTCTGTGTGAAGCCTTCTCCAGGCGATTCTAACATCAGGAGGGGTCAAGAACTCTCCTGGTCCAGTCCGTTTAGGGAGAGACCTCTCTGCAGAAGCTAGAACCTTCAGATTGGCCGGGAACATAGAGATAATGGAATCTAACCATGCTCACTAGGGTCAAAACCAGACTGAGACTCCCCCGTCCCTCCTCAACCCCACAATCTATGTCTGGGACCCAGCTTACGAGAGTGGCCTTTCTAGGAGACTAACAGGATTTCAGGCCCTGGCTCTGTCGGGGCGCTTGGGTTTTATGCACCATAGAAAGGTCTCTTCCAGTGCCAGAGAGGCACTGGAAGGGCCAGGGAGAAGCTGAAGAGCCTGTCTCTGCAGGTGGGCTCGCATGAGGGAGGGGCTGGGGCTAGGCCTGGAGTTATTCCCTGGTGCTGTCTGCAGCCTCCCCAGTCCGGATAAATGCCCTCACTTAAAGAGGCATTTTTTTGTTTTTTTGTTTTTTTTTAAGATTTTATTTATTTGACAGAGACACAGCGAGAGAGGGAACGCAAGCAGGCTTCTGCAGAGCAGGGAGCCTGATGCAGGGCTAGATCCCAGGACCCTGGGACCATGACCTGAGCCGAAAGCAGACGCTTAACGACTGAGCCACCCAGGAGCCCCAAAGAGGCGTTGTTTTTTTTAAGATATCTATTTGAGAGAGAGCGCACAAGTGGGGGGGAGGGGCAGAGGGAGAGGGAGAAGCAGGCTCCTTGCAGAGCAGGGAGCCTGATGCGGGCTCAATCCCAGGAGCCTGGGATCAGTCCCAGAGCAGAAGGCAGACGCTTGACCAACTGAGCCACCCAGGCGCCCCAAATGCCCTCCCCTTAAAACCATTTTTCTTTTTGAAAGACTGATTCAGCTCAGTGTTCCTTGAGGTGGGAAAGAGTTTGGTGGATTCTCGGAACATGGAATTCATAAAAATAACTCCATGAAACAGCGACAGCACTGTTCTGCACATACTGAGGACTGATTCCCAAGGAGCAGCGTTGCAGGTGCTGGGCCGAGTGCTGTGGGGAGTTGAAGAGGAGAGCCGACCAGAGGAGGGACTGGTGGGCTGTGAAGCCCTCCCCGCCTGAGCCTCAGACTCAGCCCCCCAAGTTGAGGACCTCAATTTCCCCATTTGGGCAGAAGGGGGATGGGTAGCTGCTCTCTAACGCAGCGTGAGCAATAGCTTTTCCTGTTTGCTGCAGCTTTTGCAAACCTTTTAATACCTCACTTGGGGCATATTCATTGTGCCTTGAGATGCATCATTCCCAGGCGCACACGGATCTGTTGTCCTATTTCCCCTCTCTGAACACACATGACCAAGTCGGGCTCCCTCAGGCTCCTGAAGTTATTGACCATGTTCTCTGGTCTCCCTTACGGCACAACTCCACCAAAGGGTGCTCTGTGCTCACGATCTCCAGTTGTGCTCCGTATTTTAACAAGTGTGTTACGACGTACGTTTGCAGAAGAGTGTATATTGCTTTCCCTTATGTTTACCATAAAGAAGAGTCAAAGGGGACCTCTGGAGCTGGGTACCACCTGGGCCCACACACCTCCAGTGGCACAAGTGACCCCCACTTCAGCCACTGCTCCCCCACGGTCCCCCCACACTCACCTGAGCACCATGTCTCTCTCAGGGCCATCCAGACTCTTCTCATAATCCCTTTATTCCTGTCACAGTGACCGGCACAAAAGGCCTGGACCTCCCGGCGCACGTCTCCTCTCCACACACGTCTGTATGTCCCGGGTGTCTATTGCTGCGTGACAAGCCACGCTACACGCTTAGGCTTAAAACCACCACCACCATGATTTTGTTCACGAGTCTGAAGTCTGAACAGGAATCTGCAGGAACAGCTTGTTTGCACTCCACAGGGGGTGACTCGACCGGCTGGCTGGACGGTCCCCTTCCAAGGAGGATCACTCGGGGTTGGCGAGCTGGTGCTGGCTGCCGGTTTCTCTCCACATGGGCCTCCCCCATGGGGCAGTGGGGGCTTCCTCCCCGCAGAGGAGCTCCCATCCAAAGGTGAGCTTGGGTATTCAGTTTTCAGTTGCTGCTCTAACAAATTGCCACACACAACAGCTAAAAACAACAGAAATTGATTATCTCACAGTTCTGTTGCTTGAAGTCTGGCATGGGACTCAGGGGTTGGCAGGGCTGTGGTCCTCTCTGGAGGCTCCAGGAGAGAACCTGTCTCCTGTCCTTTGAGGCGGTTAGCAGAGTTCAATTCCTTGCAGTCCTAGGACTGAGCTCCCTGTCCTGAGCTGGCTGTCAGCGAGGCCATTCCCAGCTCCTACAGGCACCTCCATTTGCTGCCTCGGGGCACTCTCCCTCCATCTGCAAGCTTCCTGTGTCTCCTGCCTCTTCTTCCTTGTCATATTGCCCCGACCTCTCTTCCGCCTTCCCCTTCTGCTGAAGGGCCCGTGTGATTACATCAGGCTCACCTGGGCAACCCCAGATCCACTCCCTATTTTAAAGCCCTTAATTCTTCTTCAGCGTTCCTTTGGCCACCTAACGTGACAGTGTTGGTAGCTTCCAGGGAGCAGGGCGTGGACCTCTTTGGGGGCATCGCTCTGCCCACCCCCGGGGTCCCAGAGACAGGAGATGGAAGCTCCCACTTAAAGCAAGGGCTCAGGAATTGTTCAAGTAGCCACAGACCCCAGATTCGAGGGGACATAGCTTCCCCCATCCCAAAGGAGGAGGGTCAAGGAATGTGTGGGCCATGTTTTAAAATTGCCATGGTCTCTGCCCACACATTCTCTGTGTTCCGCCCCCATGCAAAAGCCAACAATTCCCGCGAGCCTGGTCCTGTGTGACAGCACCAGACACACAGGCTTGTGCTCCAGGATCACATCATCTAACTCAACACAGGGGCAGGCATGGTTGCTCAGGTGCAGGGGCCTCGAGCGGAACACCTTTACAGGCAAGTTACCGGTCAGTTAGCACGGAACCTACAGTGATGAGGCAGGCATAGGGGACCCGTGATAACATGCCCATTCAAAAAGGGGTGGGCAAGACACGCAGTCGCTGGTCCATAGAAATTCTGAAAGCCAGCTGGGCGCATGTCC